TCAGTCCAGGGAGCTAGAGCCTGGAGGCCAAATGGAAGACCTACAGAATTGTCCCCACCTCTGGCAGCCTCCCCTGGGCCTGGGACAAACATCTAGTGAGGGAGTTCGGCTTCTCTGGAGAAGCTGACTGCCACAGGAGCGAGGCAGGAGCACAGGGGTATTTCTGGCAGAGACCATCCCCACTCCTGAGCCCAGGGAGCACTGCCTGTCAGGGTGTAGCACTGGGGTCAGGAACCTGGTCCCTATTCCCAACCACCTTTAGGCCAAGCTACGTCTAGAGATGGAAATGGAGCGAATGAGACAGACCCATTCCAAGGAGGTGGAAAGTCGGGATGAGGAGGTGGAGGAGGCCCGGCAGTCATGTCAGAAGAAGGTAAGGTAATGGGCACCTACCCTGTCCCATACAAACCCTGGTTCCCCCATCACTGCTTTAAAGGAAAGGGTTTAAAGTCAGTTGAGCATCTAATTCTTGATTTTGGCTCAGGTCATGATCTCACAGTTCATGGGATCGAGCCCCAAATTGGGCTTTCCACTGACAGTGCAGAGGCTGCTTGGGATTCTCTCTCTCTCTCTCTCTCTCTCTCTCTCTCTCTCTCTCTGCTCCTCCCCCACTCACTTGCACCTTTGCACTCTCTCTCTCTCTCTCTCTCTCAGTAAATAAATAAACATTAAAAAAAATAAAGTAAGGGGTTTTCTGTTTCCCTACCTTAGCCACACTATCATCCATTGCCATTCTGGACCCGGAACCTCTGCTGGAGACCCTGGCATTGGCTGGGATGTGTGCTCTCGGGGTCGATAGAGAAGCTCAGTCCTTTGAGGCACGAATGCTCCCTGCTTTCTGTGCCAAGCGACAGCTCACTCTGTACCCCTCTGCAGTCAGCTAGCCTGACCCAGCAGGGCCTGCCCACTCCAGAACGAAGCCTCCCACTCAGAACGAAGTCCCTCCTCTCCCTCCCAGGCTGCTTTGAAACCCTAGGAACTTTGAACTTGGGGTCTGACCCCTTGGGGTCCTCCATGCTCAGCCCGCCCCACAGTTTTCCCAGGGTAGGGGGATCCAGAAGGGAAGGGGACTGGCTGGAAGCAGACGCTGAAGGGACCGGTGGGCCTCTGTCCCCGGGCCCTGCAGTTGAAGCAAATGGAAGTGCAGCTTGAGGAGGAGTATGAGGACAAGCAGAAGGTGCTTCGAGAGAAGCGGGAACTGGAGAGCAAGCTCGCCACGCTCAGCGACCAGGTAAGCATGGCCTGCTGGCGGGGCCCGGCCAACAGCCTGTACCATCCGGCCTTAGGGAGGCCATCTTGGGGATACAAAGCTGGGAACGGGGAGGGGGACTGGGCTCCGTAAAGCCCACCGTCATCGCGTGTATAACTGGGGTCATTACCACACACAGCACCCCCAGGCTTTTCTCACTGGCTGGCACGACCCTGGCACTTCCTCTGTTGTTACTTGTTAAGGAGACACTCAGAATGAGGGCAAGAGTGAACCAGGGGCTTAGGAAAGATAGGAGGAGGCTCTGTGGTGGAACCCAGAGCCCCAGCTTCTGGTGTCCACCTAGGTGAACCAGCGGGACTTGGAGTCAGAGAAGCGGCTCCGGAAAGACTTGAAGCGCACCAAGGCCCTGCTGGCAGATGCCCAGATCATGCTGGACCACCTGAAGAACAACGCACCCAGCAAGAGGGAGATCGCCCAGCTGAAGAACCAGGTATCTTTACAGAGAGGAAGTCGACAGCTCCAGGGGGCTGGTTCTTTCTCCTGCTCCTGCCCCTCTCAGGGATTCTTGAGTCCTTGAGAAGGAAGGTAACAGGGAAGGGGGAGAAGCCACTTGTAGCAGCCAGACTCCTAGGATCTGTGCCTGCCATACAGCGTGACCGCCAAGCCCCAGGATGGCATGGATGGGTCCCCGTACCCACCCTCCCTGCCACAGCAGATGCCTGTGCGTGCACCCCAACACGCCACAGCCCCGGGGTCAAGCGAACAGAGCCTGGGCTCCTTCTCCCCTGTGAGCACCCTGTACAGCCCTCCTGCTCCCAGGGAATGGCTGACGTCTCTCCCTGGGGCGGGGGTGGCTCTGTGTCCAGCTGGAGGAGTCAGAGTTCACCTGTGCAGCGGCCGTGAAAGCACGGAAAGCAATGGAGGTGGAGATCGAAGACCTGCACCTGCAGATTGATGACATCGCCAAAGCCAAGACCGCGGTGAGGGACTGGGGTGTGCGAGCCAGGCTCAGGGGGGCGGCTGAAGCAAAATAGAGCTGTAACTGTGGCTCCCTTCCCCCCAGACGGGGGGCCCTGCCTCAGCCCACTCCCTTCACTCCAGGACTTCCTGCAGGGAGAGGGGGCCTCCCCTCCTTCGCCCCTCCCCACTCAGAGCAGAGGCTGGGAGGGGGGCAAGGTGGAAGAGGGAGCCAGCAAGGGCCCATCTCCCTGTTTTAACCACCTGCCTGTGGGAGCTTGGCCGCAGGCCCCGACACCATAAATAAAGGCAGCTAATGTGGCTGAGGGATGTAAACAGGTGCCTAGAGATTAGCGGAAGCACCGATAAGAGGATGGGATGGCTCTGTTTCCCTCCTCTTCCCCTGGCCAGCCCACTGACAAGCCCAAGCGGCAGCTAATTAGAGCTTTTATTTAATGCTTCCCTTTTAATTCCCTACCTCTCCCACGGCCCATCCATCGGCCGGGAATTCATTACGGGGATGCGGCCACCAGTACCTCCTTGGGCAGGGAAGGGGGCAGCGGGGAGGCTAGGCTGGGGGCTCTGGGCTCCGCGGCCCCCCAGCTGGTCACCCATCTGCTGAGAGATGCCAATCTCCCGGGCTTGATTTATCCCCGTGACATTTGTGCTCCTCAGCAGTTTTCAGGTGAGTAATTCAAATTCTTTAATTGTGTTAAAAAAGGCTGTTATAAAATTACCATTTTATTTAAATCCGAGTTAATAAATTTCTTGGCGGAGGCTTCCCCAGCTCCCCACAGCCCGGTAACAAGACGGATGGGGCAGAGAAGGAGCCAACGCAGTCATTTTGGTTTGGAATTACAGGCTAATAGATTCATTCATTTCCTGAAGCTGCTGTTGGCCGTCTCCTCCCCTCCCCCCAGGAGTGGACCGGCTGTGGGGGCTGGATGGCCTGGGAGCAGGCCATGGGGGGCGGGGGGTAGGGGGGGAGAATGAGAATCCGAGCTAGCAGAGCTTCCCAGAGTCCAGGGGTCCTTGCCTGAGGCCTGAAGGGGGCAGAGTACCTTCAGGTTAGGGCCTAGATGGCTGGTGCCAGGATGATGGGTCATTTGTTCTGGGCAGACCTTTTCTGCCTTCTCATTAGCCTTCAAAGAGCTGCCAGAAAGCAGCTGTCATTTAGCCCAGGGTCTGCCCACGCTGCGAAGACAGCCTTTGTCTCAGCTGCTCGAGCGCCACGGGTCTGGACCAGTGCGTGGACCCGGCCCCGACATCACCCCCTTCCCTTTGGAGGTGGCATGGGGAAGTTCGGATTTGCCACCTGGTGCCGTCGGGCACTCGAGGCCCCACGCCCTCTGATCGGTCTTGCCTCCGTCCAGCTGGAGGAGCAGCTGAGCCGCCTTCAGCGTGAGAAGAATGAGATCCAGAGCCGGCTGGAAGAGGACCAGGAGGACATGAATGAGCTGATGAAGAAGCACAAGGCAGCCGTGGCTCAGGTGCCCCACCACACCCCGTGCCACAGACGCTGGCCCTCTGGTCCTCTTCCTAAGCGCCGCCCCCCCCCCCCCA